CTTGTGGTGTCATCCACCGAGTGGCAAATTGTTCCATAATAGTAATAGTATAAGGAGCCGTAGGACCATACCGAGTACAAGCCTCTTTTTTTTGGAGCTGGAGTCTCAGTCTGTCACCCAGACTGCAGTGCAGTGGCCGCTCCCGCCACTGCAGCCTCGCCTGCAGGGCTCCAGCGATCCTTCCACCTCAGTCTTCCAAGAATTACAGGCATGCGCTACCACACACATGCACACATGATTTATTGTAGAGATGAGGTCTCACTGCCCAGGCGGGTCTCGAACCCATGGAATCAGGCAATCCACTCACCTCAGCCTCCCAAAGGCGTGGGTTTACAGGCTGAGCCACCGAGCCCAGCTACAAGCCTCTTTAAGTGCCTTAATCAATTTATATGGTAGTGGCTCCCAATGAGGTGCCTCATTTACTGTGCCTTCTTCCATATAAATTACTGGAAAGTAAGAAGACAAGGTAAAATCTCCCTCTTTTTCAGCCTTTTTTCTGGCTCCCTGCATACCTACATTAGCTGGAGACACATACCCAGGTGTGAATTTCGGTGTTTTCACCTTATTTCTAGTAAAGAGTATGGGAGGAGGTACCTTGGCAACATTACCAGGATTTTTTCACTTATGATACCCAGTCACTTCCTCCTCCAACTCCATCTCCTCCTTGGGGAAAAATTCATCATCTAAAGGAGGCACCGAGGCTACGGCCAGCAGGGGAGTGCCTTTAATTTTTGGCTGGAATTTTAGAGAAATCATGCTGTGGATTTAAAGCATCTCGGATAATATTCCATAAAGCTAAGGCATACAAAATGCAAAAGGCAAGCCAATTGGTTCCTCTATCAGACAATATGTTCAAAATACTAGTAGTTGTGTTCCTTTCTTTAGATTCACTCTGGCCCATGATTCTATCACAGATCTTAAACTGCTCACCCTTCCTTGCTCTGCCTGTCTCTACAGAGAGGTCCGCAGCACCCTGGGTGAGGTCCTATCCATCCTGAAAAAGAAAAAGAAAGCTTACTTTGAGGCCCCACGTTGGGCGCCACTTGCCGGAGACCAGCTCCAGCCGGGTTCAGGGTACCCCAAAGGTGGAGATGGCATTGGTGATTGGGG